AAAATTTTTGATGCCCACATGTAGCAAACACAGTTTGCCACAAAAGTAACATCAAAATAACTTATCATGAACAAACATTTTGTTGATGATACAGGAAACCCAACAAAAGACAAGATTTATGTTTAGCAAGCACTTACCCCATTTTTGCGTCTGCCTTCATTACGACACGACAGAGCGGTTATCTGAAAAGAAAGAGAGATACTTTGTGAGTGGTGCACTACGAAGGAAGGATTAACAAACTATCCGCTTTTATGTTGGCAGCTCCACTTTGCTCCATTGGCAAACTCGATTGATCGTAATCGGCCCTAGCTTGGAATGCCACCTTCGTTTGTAATTATAAACCATCGGTCGCTGAAAAGGGGGCCAGCGACATGCGGCCTCCTACCGATCATTTAGCACACGGAAAACCTAGCTTTTCCGTATCGATGTTAAATATCGCATTACTAAAGTCCGCTGCGAATCTTTTTGTTTTTTCGTTAAAATTCTAATATTTTTACGGTGTGAACGCATATCCCGATTTCTCCACTGTATTGCGAGACATTTCCACGAAATTTTCACTACTTCCTACCATGTTCATTTCGTATTATCTAGTTGTTACTTTTCCCCTTTGTTGAATCGCTTCACGTCGGAAATTTAAAGAGCCCGCGCAACAAGTCCCGTGCGAGCAGCTCCTCCAGTCTAAAGTCCTATGGGCCCGGGCCGCGCGGCGGGGCTGGCGCAGCGCTGCGGGCGGCGCCATCTGCCGCGGGGTGGCGGCACCGCCGAGGGGTGGCTCCGGGCCGTGGAGTGTCGGCGCGCTACCCCGCGCTGCAGGTCGCGGAGGCAAAGACGCACCCGGGTACCTCAGGCACCTCGGGTAGCGCTTGGCGAGCAGACAGACACCCGACTTGGCCTGCCTGGCGCTGCAAGTCCTGGAGACCTGGGCCAACCCGGGTACCTAGGCCACCTCGGGCACCTCGGGCACCTCGGGCACCTCGGGTAGCGCGTCTCGAGCAGACAGACACACTTGCCTGGCCAGCCTGGCGCTGCAGGTCCCGGAGGCCCGCTAGACCCACCCGGATACCTCGGGCACCTCGGGCACCCCAGGCTCGGGTGAAGGTGCAGTTGCGCGCCAGGTTTCGAGACGAGTAAAAGCAGGTCTCGTCATGGGGGAGGAGTGTCCGTTAGTCGTGAAGACCTGGACCGTTAACGTCTCCGGCTGCTTGGCGGCTCTGGGAGCTGGCGCGGGGGTGCGTGCGTGCACTGTAAAATCAAGATGTTCTATGAGTAACCGCCTTAGTCGCTTGCACCCAAAAAGAGAGCGCCTTGAGGCGGTTACTCATAGCACGCCTAAGTCGCTTCCCCGTAAGAACACCTTGGCAGCACGATCTAAGCCCAGGGCGTGCTTCTGCGGCACACCGGAGTTGACATGTAAAAACAAAGATGTGCTCCCACAGCACATTCTGTGCCCTGCTGTTCTGGATTGCGGCCACTAACCAAGGCGTGCTGTGAGAGCACGCCCCTCGTAAAGCCTCTGGTCCAATAAGCCCAAGATGCGCTGTGGCTAAACAGCTTGTCCAGTGTATTTGTAAATATTTGTGATGACCTCCCCATTGAATGCCATGCTATTCCAATGGCCCACTGCTGCCAAGGTGTTCTTACGGGGAAGCGACTTAGGCGTGCTATGAGTAACCGCCTCAAGGCGCTCTCTTTTTGGGTGCAAGCGACTAAGGCGGTTACTCATAGAACATCTTGATTTTACAGTGTGGGCAGCACCCCATCTCCGAGACCCTGTCCCTTCACCCACACCCCGGGCAGCCAACTTCCCACACTGCGCCGACCTTCCCCACTAAATAACGCACTCCTCCTGCACCTCCGCGGCCGGCAGTTACGCGACGACAAAAAAGCCGGTCCGGCCGGTGCGCCGGGGACGCGGGAGGTGACGACCACCACGGGCACTCTCATCGGGGTGCGCCGTTTCCCACCCCCTTCGCCACCCCCGATCCGCCCCCGCTCTCCAACCCCCTTGCAAAACAAGCCGCGCGCGGCAGGACAGCACCGGTTTTAAAGACCTTCCCAAACGCGGTGCGTATCTAACCGCCACCCACCGACCACCTCGGGACCTGATCTGATCCCCACCCGCTCCGCCTCCGCTCCAACCTGTCCCTGTCCCCCTCTTCAGTGGGCACCTCCAAGACGCCGGACGTGCATACAATGGGTGAGACCATGTGAGACAGAGAGAGAGAGAGACGGCGCGGGAGGAGGGGGAGGGAGGAGGTCGGGGTGAAGGGGTAGCCGGGGTCGTGGGATGCTGCGCTGGACCTGCACCCCTCCCCCTCCCACCCCACACGGCCCGCGTGTCGTTGCACCCCTCGGCGCTGACCGGAACTCCCTCCCCCTCCCCCACCCTTCATCCGCTTCAACCCGCGCGCGACCTCTGCTCTCGGGGTCACTACTTGGCCCTGCTCCACAACCGGTCCTATTGGTCCTGTACCTCATCCCCTTTCCTTCTGCTCCTTTATATTATGCGGTGCAACACGCACAACGGTAAGAAAAAAACTTAAACGAAATATCTGCATTACGCTGTGACGTGTTGGATTTTTCATATTTTTATTTTTTGACGTGCGAAATGATGACGCTTTTCTGATTTTTAATGAACCGCTGGGCGTAGCGGCACATCATGCGCGATGCAAGGATAGCGAGAGGACGGGGACTTTGTAGCAGACAGGCGGGGACGAGGCGCTGGGACCTGGAAGCAGGGCGGGAGAGCGGAGAACAGCGGAGCAAAGCGCGACTGGAGGGGAGGGGGGAGCCTGGATCGATCCTGGGGATAGAGAGGGAGTGAGTGGGACCAGGAGGACGGGAGCGAATCTGGGGACGACGAGAGAGAAGAGTGTGTATGAGAGTGAGTGA